TGGCCACCCAACAGCAACAAAGAAACTGTCCTGCTTAATTAATTGGTACTGACTTGACTTGGCACCTTTTCATTTTGACGAGAGAGAGAGGGAGGACTTGGCATGCGCCCAACCCAAGTTCCAAATTACCTTATGGCCATGGTTGATGATAATGTAAACAATTGGTTAAAAGGAAAAAGAAAAAAAAGCTAAAAAAAAGTAGAAGAATGACAGAAAGATATAGTGAACAAATCAAATCAAATCTGGCGTGTTAAGGAGTCGTCCCGTCTCAATTAGATTGATTAGTAAAAAGTGTCCCACTTCCTTCCTAATTTTGGGAAAAAAAAATTAAAGTAACAAAGTGCACTCCTCAGAGTAGAGATGTACCGAGTTACTACTGCATGCGTGCGGTGGGTCTGCGTAGCTAGCTATTGATCAGCTGTAATTGCTCAACAAATCTGCCAAAATAGGCTAAAGCCACCCCTCCCTCCTTGTACGAGGCTATGATCGGGTCAAAATTTATAAAGGTCCCACATATACGAATCGACAAGTACTCATGCTACTCTTGTGTAAGAGGACATTGCGGTGAGTCTTCATGTACGTACATGACAGCTATATTCATATCATTGTTAGTACCAAGTTTATGGGTGGACTAGCTAAAATTTTTAACTTAAAATCTAATGATTTATTAAAAACAAAAAGCAAAACTGTAACTTACACGTTTATGATCTACATGTGGATGTCATCCATTGGTTTAAAATAACAGGAAAAAAAGTTATTAAAAAAGCCTTCAAGAAGCACATATGGTAGGCCATATAGGTTTTTTTTTCCTTAAAAAAAACTGGCCAGAAGGAAGCAGTTGTTGTTGTTGGCCAATATAGATATAGGTTTTTCCTTCAAAAGTTACCGGCTACAGCCCACCTTAACCTTAGTCGTGGTTGCGGTTCTACCTATGGTTAGTACTATAGGGCCTTTAACTGTAATAGTCCTTAAATTTGTACTCGAGTTTTTTATATTTAGTCTTCTAACTTTTCCATTCAAACACGGGTTAGGAAACCAAAATAGAAGTCAGAGTGTAAATTCAGAAATTAATAATGAAGTTAAAAACTCCAGTACTATATTATGATAGACCGATAAGTAATATTATGTGATAGTGTTGCAGTTACACCTAAGAATTTATTTTGTGATAAGTCCCGTACATGCATTTTTAGTAAGAAAAATAATGAGGAAACAACATTTGTTACTAGGAAGAGTGCATATAGTGCATATAGAAGCGTGAAGACCTGTGGACCTTAAAATTAGGAAAGCCAAACAAGAAGACACCCAGCAAGACCCAACAAGGCAGCGGCAAGGCATCCATAAATAAATGGATTTTCAGCCGTTTTATGAACCATGTCCCGTTGAACTTAACTTCCAAACTAAAAAGTCAGCCAATTTAGCACTTGAAATAATTAAAACAACGGATTTAGCCCTTACTATTAAATTTTTTGAATTGCATCCATTTTTTCGTACAAACAGTCACTTGTCCTTCACATGATTTTCTATTTGAATTTAATATTATTATTATTAAAAACTAAAAATATTTAAAAATGGAAAAAAGGGGGGAAATGGTTCGCACAGAGCACATTAAGCCATTTCCCTTATCTCCCACCTTGAGGAGGTGGCTGCCAACAAGTTTGAATTTGGGCATGTTTCTCAAAGGTGAACTCTTGCTCTTGTATTTGGGCATGTTTTTCACACCCTGGTATTCCAGTTTTCGTTATAAAAAATAAAAATAAAAATAAAAAAAAGCTTATTGTTCATGGCTCAAATTCCAAAACCCTAGAAGCTAAACGTGACGTCATCGGCCAAGAACAATTAGACCCAGAAGCACCCACTTCATGATTCAAACTAATTTGGTTTGAGGAAGGCTCGGGAATCCAATCTCTGGTTGAATTTTTGGCTACATAGGTTCGGGTGTTGATGATGATGATGAAGCCATGGTGTTGTCTACGGGGTTTGAGTTGTGGTTATTGTGTTTCTTAAACGGAATTTTGGGGAGGAAGAAGGGAAGAGAGGGGGTGGTGGCTGGCTTTGGGTGGCAAGGGAAGGTGAGGATGGTGGGTGGGGGTGGCTGTGTTCCCTTTCGTTTCATTTTTCTATTTTCTAAATATTTTAACTTTGACTTTTTGGACAGGTGAAATTCAAAAAATCAAACGGCGAGGCCTAAATCACCTGTTTAAATATATTCAGGTGCTAAATTGGCTGACTTTTTAGTTTGGAGCATTAAGTTCGATTGGGACCTAGTTCGGGGGTGTACACCAATTTATTGTAAATAAATTTCTATATTGATTCTCCCCTATGAATTTTCTATACAATAATTTTGTTATATATTTTCTTTGACTTTCTATCATTATCTTACTCCAATTATTCCTTTCGTTTTTAATTTTCTTGCACTTCCTTTACTTTTACATTGCCTACAAATATTGTTGATGGTGAGCTAAGAATTCTTAAAGTTAAAAGCTATCACATTATCTTTTATCATTATCCTTTGACGAATTTATACACTAATATATTTGATATGTCCTGTTTTATTTTAAAGGTGAGCTAAAGCTCTCATTCTCATTGATGGACCAATCATAACATCATATTTGATGAAATACATAAAATGTGACCAATTAACCATGAAGATTATTACATCTCTATATGACAATAGTTCCTAATTAAGTATAGTAAAATCATCACGTGACATGCGTATGTGATTTTAAAATATATCTAACACAAATTATAGGACTTATAATACGTTTATTACCAATTGTTCAAGTATTATTATTTGGATGAGAATTGTAATATTATGTTGGGTTGTCATTTGCTGTTATTGACACACCAAAAATAATCTTCAACAAATAAAGACTGCGTATGAAATTTAGTTTCTTTAACTGCATTGAAGAAGTTGAGTATAAGAATGTAGTTTCGTATATAGTAACAAAGTCACATGAGAATTTAAGATTATCTTCAACACACCATGTCTATTACCGTAGCATTTATGTCCCGTACAAATATGAGATGGTCAATTTATCTACTACCTCAACGAGAAATTATAGAATACTATGATCATGTGTTCCATCATCTCTCTACTTCAATATGATGTGGTGCAACCACATAGAAGAATCATATATAAACCTGAACCAAGCAATGCCTTTTAAAATTAAAAATTAATTAAAGGACAATGCTACTTGATTAACGTATAAAGACCATCTAAGCGTGTCAACGATTAAATGTTATTTTACTAAGTTATTCATGTGAAGCTTCCCTGATAAACTCTTTTAAGAATTAAGAGGCCAATGTACCCTCTACATCTGGAAATTAATATGAGAAAAAAAAAAGTGTACACCTTGCAGGCATCAAGGGTGAACAGACTCCGTTTTTATGTCTTTGTCTTTGTATATTTTATTGGCTTTTCAAACAGCCATTAAAGACATTTACTATTATCACAACCATTAATTTTATATATATATATATATATTTTACAAATTTATAAATAAACCCAATCCTAGACATGTATTTATAAAAAAACCAAAGCACTATTTAAACATAGAAACACACCCAAAATCAACCCCAAAGTCAACTTTTTGGGTGTGTTTATAAATGGGTTTTGAGTGTGTGTAATGATGGGTTTTGGGTGTGTTTATATGTTTAAATAGTGCTTGGGTTTTTTTATAATTTCAACCCCTATTTTGGGTGTTTTAGTGAAACCCCCTTTTTTTTTTGGTAAAAATTATTAATTTTATATTCATTAGAGGCCAACTGGGTTATGAGCAACATCGCCTCTCTCTCTCTCTCTCTCTCTCTCTCTCTCTCTTTTAATAAATCCTTATTTTTTATGAAGATTTATTTTATTTTTTGACAATGCGATATTCTAAATTATTACTCTAATGTAGAAAACTGAGGATAAAAACTTGTATGTGAGGAGGCAAACTCGGAGCAAACATCATTCATTGATCAACTGACCTAACACACATTTGTCTTGATAAAGATTAATTAAGGGTCAACGAAAATTCATGACTTACCGAAGATTAAATTTGTTGCTCTGTCTCGCTAAGAATGAAAGGTTTTTTAAAATTTTTTTTCTCTTGTGATTTCTAAGTATAATATGCTATATAAGTATCTTTTTCGACATGGTATATAATTCAGTACTCTTTGTAAATGGCACATTCCACTTTATTGTCGGTATATTATTAAGTCATAATTAAACAAAATATATTCCGGTTTGAAATATATAACACATTATATGAGTTCTTTCTGCAAGTCACATAATTCATCGTGATTTGGCTGACCATACCAAATCTGGACCAACCCAGAACCCACCCAGCCACAGTTTCTATCAGCACTAACTAATCCGATCCGATTTTTTAATACATTTTTGTTTTGAGCATGAGAGATGGGCTCTTTTGTAATTTTATAGCGGTGAATGATAGGCAGAACCGATTAGCGGACACGTGTCCACGTGAACAGAGAGTTCACGTTTTCCATTACATCACTAATAAGTAGGGATATCATTTTTCGGTTTGTCTATTATGGCCACTTAACTGCCATTATGATTGTCGCCACGTAATCAGGTAAACAGAATCCTGATTGCATTCTGTACAAAGGAAACGGTTACAGCGACTCCCACCTGGACGCGTGTCTAATAATATCTAAACCTACGTTTCTCATCCACAAAACGGAAAACAACAGCGTGTTTCCGGTTGCAGCAGATTAGTTTCTCCCCGATTGCAAGTAACAATTTAAACCGCGCACGTATCTCGAGGCGTGAGAGAGAGAGAGAGAGAGTTTCTAATTTCCGTATGGTACCGAACCCCATTGGTCACCCTCAGGGCTCAGCTAAATTACCTAAAAAGTAACTGCCGTTTCGACAAGTCTATCCCAAAAAGTTAGGGCATATCCGTCAATTTAAGAAGGAGACCAGCTCAACTCAGACTCAAAAGCCTTTATCTCTCTCCTCGCATTGCCAGCGTGGCGTCGAGACAGAGAGATAGTTACCAAACCCAGCAAGGCCCTCTACTCTGAGACCACACAACGGATTGGGATTTAACGGCGTTAAACAGTTTTAACGGCCACCTCCCCGTTTCTCTCTCGTGTTTGTAGTAGCCTGGTCTAGTCTGTCTGGTTTTTATTTTTCTTCCGTTTGTCCGGAGGAGAGAGAGCCCAAACAAAATAAATAAATAAAGAAAAAAGCGGATCCCTCTCTCTCTCTTTCTTTCTCTGGCGAGGGCATGGAATCTCGCCGGAGAATTCCATAGATTCCGACGAGATAAAGCTTCGGTGGAGCTGGAAAGAGGAAGAGGGAGACCAAACGTGTAGCTTGTGAGCAAATTAAACCCAAAAAAAAAGAAGAAAAAGAAAAGAGAAGAGGAAGCAAGAGAATGAAGGCATAAAGAAAAAAAAAAAGAAAAATGGTTAACGTGCAATGCAGGGAAAAAGAGCATCAAAGAAGCTTAAGAGGATCTTACACGGCACAGATGCCTAGATGATCCCTTCTCCAATCCCCTTGCCTTATGCCGTAATTTATTCGATTTTTTATAGTCTCTCCCTCCTCTTCCACCTTGTTTTAAATTCCTCTCTCTCTCTCTCTCCCGTCTCTCCCATCTCTCTCTGTGTTTCTTTGTCTGGTCTGTCTTCGATATCATACTCCAATTGCGATTTCAACGTCTGTGTTTGGCTGTTCGTTCATCCTCTGACCCATTCCTTCTGCAGCTCAGCTCAGACTTTGATTTCGTATCAGCAAGTTCACAGGTAAGCTCCGGCGTTACCTCTTTACTGAATTTTGCCTTCAATTTTCGTCTGAGTAATTTTCCTTTTTAATACGGTTGGTTCAATTGCTGCTCGTGATCTTGCTAATCTTCGTGAGAATTGCTCGCAGATTTGCTACTAAATAAATTCTGTAATTGTTTATGATTTAGTAATTACGATAGAAATGCATTCCTATCATCTCTTGTATTAAATGATATTTTCATTTCTCAGAATTCGTCATAATTGAGCTACTTATGGTCGAGATCTTAAGCTCATTCCAGCTGTAGATTTTTTTTTTCCCTTATAATTCTAGCTTATAGATTTCACGTATCTCCTTTTCTCCCCCTGAGCACCTAATTCTAGGAAGCATAATCAAAGTTGTCAAAGCATGTTATGATTTTTGGCGTGCGGCTCTTTTTAATGCTGGAAGAACAATTTTGAATAGGTTTAGACGTGGCCACGCGAGATGGAGAGCCTTTTCTGAAATAATTTTGGTTTGTGCAGCCTGAGTTTCGTCATGCCATCTGAGATAATGGACCTCAATAGTTTGTCCTCCTCGTCATTGTTCTCCGAGGATGTATCTTTTCCAAACGAGGTACCAATAATTGTGCATCCTTCTGTTCCCAGCTGCAGTTCAATCGATTGTCTATTACTGAATTCACTGTTTTATTATATTAATATAGACTTTTTACTTTTTCGGTTTATGTTGTTCTAGTGCATTCGTTATTGAGAATCTTAAGTTTCATCTTTCATTTTTATCTGTTAGCTAGTTCTCGTTGTACTTATTCTATGTGTTGAAATCTTTGGCAGAGGCAGGTTGGGTTTTGGAAGTCAGATAATACGCCCGATAATCATGGTCAGTACCATCAATCTATAACTGCTGTCTTGTCGTTTTGGTCTGTAAATAGTATTCGTTTGCAGTCTTACCATTTAATTCTTATCCAACTTGTCGTTAAACCCCCGCCTTAGAGGGCATTAATGACTAACTCTGAGAATATTTTCTTTTTGGTAAAAACTCACTCTGACAATTTTGTTGAACTAAGATCATTGCAATTAATTCACGTGTGTGACAAAGTACCCGACAGTTGTAATTTTCTGTTCTTTTTCTGGTATCCAACCTGTCATGAAGTTTCCCTTACCGTTTTTTATTATTTCCATTTTAGTCAAGATGTTTCTCTACTTGCGTTCATGCCGAAAATTAATTTTGTGCCATCAGCCCTAGTAAGCATCTTAGGTACTGATACAGTAACTGGATTTACCTCGAGTTTCCAGAAGTTGTTCTCACCGTCCCCGAAAAGAGATGGTGATATGTGGTATTCATAGGGATTTCAGTGTTGGGGTCTGAATTTTGAGCAGGCAATATGAGCTGTGATGACCATGACTTGATGGTTTTGATCCACATGATGAAATGTATGATTACAGTGATAAAGATAAGGAGTGGAGGAATGAATGAGAGGATGATTGCAATAACAATTTTCCATTGAGCTAATTAATCGTAAATATGCAATATTGAGTGAATTCTATCTGAGTTTCTGAGTGCGGTTAATTTAACCTTTTGCCTTTTCGAACTGTCTGTCTCCATGGGTCTCATTTTATGGAATTTTAGAAGAGTGTGTGTTTTTGTTCTTGTTAAAGCATTTATAAATTTTCATATTCATGCCTATAAATTAAAATAGGCTGCCAGGAGTTTGGCGTGGCCCCTCAGTGCTAAGTTCCACCAAAGCTAATAATGCATTTGTACTTCTAGTATGTAGGTGTCAAGTTCTATTGGTATAATTTATGGGTGATCACGATTAAGTCCTGAATCAATGCCATAACTCTATGAGTTAGAGCTTTCTGGCCCCTCTTTTGTACCTAATAAGGGCCGATTCTAATTTTGTGAACAGCCAGTAAGAAGTCACTTGCGTCATCATCTCTAGAGAAGTGTCAGACAGTGAAGTCTTTGCACCATCCCGAATTTTTCTTAATGCAAGACCAGAAAGTGCATCCCAGCTTCAATAGACAAGCAGTGGGAGCAGAGAGAGCCTTAAGTCATTCCTTGAGTTTATCGAGATCCATGAGCCATGATGTAGCAGCAAGATCGAATTTAAATGTTGAGACAGCATCTTATATTGGAGAAGTTGGTAAAGTCAATATGATGGGAGCTCAGTATGAGAGTAGCCTCTTCTCAAGTTCATTGTCAGAGCTATTTAGTAGGAAGTGTAAGTCTTCTCACTTCAGTCTCCCTTGTGTGCACATCTGTTTCCAGTGTCAACTAATATGCTTGAACTTTAAATGAAGTATCATTCAACTATCTTAATGAATATTGTGTTTGCCGCTGTAGTTTCTTTAATAGATTCAGTTTCATTGCTTATTTACAACGTGATTTTTGTTGAGTTTCTACTGTAGTGATATTATTGTCGAACAATATGGCCAGTCTGTTGATATCCACTATGTTCTAGGCTGTAGTTTCTTCGATTGATTCTGTTTTGTTGCTTATTTGCTATGTGGTTTTTTTTTTTAAATTAAAATTTTCTGATGCAGTAAGATTATCATCGAACAATACACTATATGGCCATTCTGTTGATACTGTTGCCTCCCACTATGATGAAGATGAAGCTTTTGAATCCCTTGAAGAAATTGAGGCCCAAACCATCGGAAACCTCCTCCCTAATGACGATGAATTACTTTCAGGAGTTACTGATGGGCTTGACTATAATGTCCAAATCAGTTCTGGGGATGATATGGAGGAGTTGGACCTTTTTAGCAGTGTTGGAGGGATGGATTTGGGAGATGACGGTTTGTCAGCTGCTCTAAAGGATTCTGAGTCTCCTGGAGGAGTTTCTAATGGTTCAATAGTTGGAGAACACCCTTATGGTGAACACCCTTCTCGGACATTGTTTGTGAGAAATATAAACAGTAACATTGAAGATTCTGAGTTGAGAACCCTGTTTGAGGTATGCTAGATGTTTTAGTTGTGGAATTTATATTCATTTTCAGTATTACATGTTGTTTGGGCATTGACTATTGCAATTTCATAACTGGAATATGCAGCAATATGGAGATATCCGCGCTCTTTACACAGCCTGCAAGCATCGTGGTTTTGTTATGATATCCTATTATGACATTAGAGCAGCCCGGAATGCGATGAAAGCACTGCAGAACAGACCATTGAGGCGCCGGAAGCTCGACATACATTACTCGATTCCAAAGGTTAGTTCCCACAATGTTATCCCTCTAGATGTTGATATAACTATGTTATTTTACTGTTATGATGGTTGCTTTGAGAATGTCAGTATTTTTTCATGACAATTGATTTTATATTGGTAATTTATACATCATTTTATGTCGTGCATGAACTTTTTATTTGACTTATTGTGTGGGTTCTCTTGTCAGGACAACCCTTCTGAGAAGGATGTTAATCAGGGAACTCTGGTGGTTTTCAACCTGGATTCTTCTGTTTCAAATGATGAACTACGCCAGGTTTTTGGTGTCTACGGAGAAATCAAAGAGGTATACATATTTGCCATTTCTTATAATTGTGCATGGCAAAAGCATTAGCTCTAATGCATTGTCATTCTTGAACCTGGATTGCAGATCCGTGAAACCCCAAACAGAAGTCATCACAAATTTATTGAATTTTATGATGTTAGAGCTGCAGACGCTGCTCTTAATGCATTAAACAGGAGTGATATTGCTGGGAAGCAAATTAAGCTTGAGCCAAGCCGTCCTGGAGGTGCAAGACGAAGGTATGGTCCTAGAACAATAACTTTGCCTTCATTCCTTATATATTTATTTTCTTTTTTTCTTTTTACTCAAGCCTTGTGTTGAAATGTCATTTAAGTTATGTCAGGAAAGCAACCAAATACTTTTTACACACTTCTGTGAGAGAAATTTTTTCACTAATCTAGCATTGCTCAATATTATGTGCTGAACTGAGCTTTAGGTTTAGTTCCACTTTTGATATATTCATAATTTTCCTTTCGTCTTGTATTTTTTTTTTTTTCACTGCAGCTTGGGGGTGCAGTTATCTCCAGAGTTGTTAGAGAAAGATGAATGTGGCCTTTATTTGCAGCAGAGCAGCCCTCCTAACTGTGTCACCGGTTTTTCTGGTAAAGTGTTTGTCTTAAAAACCTCATGCTCATTGAATCTAGTTCAGAAGCACAGAAAATCCTTATTTGGTCTCATAAAGAGTTGTTAACAGGCCCAGTTCCGCATGGACCAGTTACATCCAGTTGCACAGATAATGGAACTATCATGGCTGTACACTCTGCAGTACAAGCTGCATCCCTTGAAAACATGTTCCACCATGGGATCTCTTCTAGTGTTCCTAACGGCTTATCTTCTGTGATGAGAGCTGAATCAGTTGGCAATCTGTCTGGCCCTACTGAGTCCACTCATTCACCAGGCTCGCTGAAATTTGACATCCATGGCACACCAGCCTTTCATCCTCATTCACTTCCGGAGTATCAGGATGGTTTAACTAATGCTGTCAACTGCAGTTCACCGGGCACTGTATCTGCAAGTATCAATGCCAGACCACAAGAAAGAATTGATAACAGGAACTTAACCAGAGTAAGCTCAAATGGGCTTTCAATTGAACTCAATGAAAGCGGTAAGTGAATGAATCACAAAGTACACACTTTAATTTTCTTCAGTTTGATGTCTTTTTTTTTTTTTTGGGGGTTTTGTTTTGTGGATATATCTTTTCTTATTTTGATAATCTGTTTTTGCTATCTTCCCAGTTTTTGGCTCTACTGGTAATGTTAACTACCCTATTCCTGGACATCATTATGCATGGAACAATTCCTATCACCCTCAGGCTCCAGGAATGATATGGCCAAACTCACCATCATTTGTTAATGGCCTTTCTTCAGCTCATCCTATTTCTGCAGCCCATCCCTCAACGCGGGTTCATGGACTTCCTAGAGCCCCATCTCATATGTTAAACCCAGCTTTAGCCATACATAACCATCATGTAGGGTCAGCACCAGTGGTTAATCCGTCTCTCTGGGACAGGCGACGTGCATATGCAGGGGAATCCCCTGAGGCATCTGGATTTCATCCTGGCTCTCTTGGGAATATGAGAATGTCAAATAACTCACCACATTCAATGGAATTTGTTTCTCATAACATGTTTCCCCACCTTGGTGGAAACAGCATGGACCTGCCAATTTCCCACAAAAATGTAGGACTCCAGACCCATCATCAGGGGTGCATGATGTTTCCTGGAAGAAGCCAGATGATTCCCGTTATGAATTCATTTGATCCGCCTACTGAACGTGCACGAAGTCGTAGAAATGAAGGCAGTGTTAATCAGGCTGACAATAAGAAACAGTATGAACTTGATATTGACCGCATAATGCGAGGGGATGACAACCGAACAACACTTATGATAAAGAACATTCCTAACAAGTAAGTGGCCTGAATAGAAAGATAGTTCATATTTTTTAATGGCTCCTTCTATTACTTTTTTGGCACTTATGATTCTCGGATGAATGTGTTTGAATTGACAGGTATACTTCAAAGATGCTATTGTCTGCCATTGATGAACGCCATCGAGGAACTTATGATTTCATTTATCTACCAATTGATTTTAAGGCAAGTGACATCCTGTTTGGATGATTTTCTTTGATATTGTTGAGAACTGAACATGGAAAGTAAATTTAATATCAAATTTGTTGCTGTCTGATGAACATGGTATTCATATCTGTTGCAGAACAAATGCAATGTGGGTTATGCATTCATCAATATGACTGATCCTAGGATGATCGTTCCATTTTACCAGGTTTGTTTTCTTTTCTGTAAAGCTTTAACAATATAAAAGGCATGTGCAAATTAAAGCTAAAAGAATTGTCTGATTTTTGCAGTCATTCAATGGGAAGAAATGGGAGAAGTTCAATAGTGAGAAGGTGGCATCACTTGCATATGCCCGCATTCAAGGAAAAGCTGCTCTGATTGCACATTTCCAGAATTCAAGCTTGATGAATGAGGATAAGCGATGCCGTCCCATTCTCTTCAATACTGATGGCCCAAATGCTGGTGATCAGGTATGTCGATGGTGACAGAACATGCACACTTGATTCAAATGGCAGTAAATGGTGCAACTTCTAAATTTAAAAATATATCCAAATAATAATGAGAATAATAGTTATTACTGTGATATAGAGAGATTACATGCTGACTGTTCTTGATCAACAGGTGCCCTTCCCAATGGGGGTTAATGTTCGCACAAGACCTGGTAAAGCTCGAACAACCACCCATGAGGAGAACCATGTTGGAAGCCCACCAAGTTTCGGAGACGGGGAGCATTCTTGCAATGGAGAGACAACTACAGGTTCTGCTAAGCAGTCAGACTAAGCGCCGCTTATTTTTTCCGGGCACTAACCTTATAGTACAGAAGATTCTAATTTGCTTCCACCCTGAATCTTTGGTGACGCATATTTAGGGTGGCTAAAGAGGGCCAATGAAAGTCTCTTTCGGGGTTTCTTACAGACCTGTTTTAAACCTTAAGAGGATGAATGCGTAGCCAACGCTAAGCGATTTTCCAGTTTTCTTTCACCATTTTTCTTTTAAATTCTGAAACAGTTAGGAGAAAAGACAAAAGACGAAAAGGAGCATCAGCTGGAGCTTCAAAATTTTGGATGGTCGTAAGAGTATTATTTTAAGAGGCAAAGAAAAAGTATTCTAGTGTATAGGAGTTTCTGAGCAATGAAGAGATTCTACAAATGCTCTCTTTTTTTTTTCTTCATTTTGCAAATTTTCTTTACCGGTTATGTATTATTTAGTTATTCGGAAGCCCATTTGTAACTATTAAGATACAAGAGTTTTAATTTTTTTTTTTTTTAAAAAAAAAAAAACTAAACTCATTATTCTTGTATTGTCGACCCCTTAATAATCCTCACTTGTGAATCCCATACTCCCCCGTTTTGCACCTGCTTAGTTTGCATGGATTCCATGGGATGAATATCTTCGCTATATTTTGATCAGAAAATGCGAGTCACAGTTGTTCATGTGTATTCGACCCCAAAAAAAGGTTGTTCATATATGCGTAAAACGCGTCTTGTGTTATGTTTGCTTAATTTTTATATTTTATGAAATTGATAAGAATGGGTATTAAAATCATTCTGATTCATGACTTTCCATGCATTCTTGTCTTCGCTATTTCAATACATACGGAATCAAAAAATACATGAGTTTCACGATATAATCAGTAATTTAATATTTGAAAATTTAGGAATTAGATTAATTAGAGTAAGTAATTGATCTAATTTAATATTTGAAAAACCAGGAATTATATTCCTAAATTCCTATTCTAAGTTAACACGCTATTAGTTCTTGCAATGTGGGATCTACCCATAGCCAGCCACTCATATAAGCAACTGTGGCTAACGGCCCGGTGGACGGCAGCCGGTTATATCATGTGGTTCAGTTGCTTCATGTAAGTAGGTCTGATGTTTTGCAGTTTCTACTTCTTTATTTATAATTAAAATTGTTCTGCCGTTTGAAATAAGCATATCATTATATGTAAAATGAGTCATTTTGGACACATTCACGTAGGAGTGGCATTTTTGACCGAAAAACCACAAAAACCAACCGACATTATACCGCATTGGAACCGCAATAGCTAAAAACCGACTGAAAATTGCGGTTTTAGAAATCGAACTGCAATTACAGTTGCTGTTACGATATGTGATTTTGGCAACACGCGGTTACCGCAAACCGCAAATATATTTTTCTTTAAATTGCATTTTAGTAGTTAGATGTTGTGTTTTAATTCGGTTGAGTTTAATATATTATTAATATGCTTTTATGTTGTTGCTTTTGTGTTGTGTTGTGTTATAGATAGAGTCTAGCCACTCTAACACACCTAATGCCTCTAATCCCCCAAACAAAAACCGATACACCTGAAACACAACCTCTACTCCAACTCATAAAGAATGGCTTCTTTTTATAATAAAATCCACTCACCACCACCTACACTTGAGTTCTCCTTTTGGTTTGTAACTTTAATTAACTTTGAAATGAATTTTTCTTTAGGTTGTGAATGCTTAAGAAGTTGAGGTTGAGTTTGTGAATTTATATATGCTTGAGAAGTTGAGGTTGTGAATTTATATTTTTTGGTTAAAGTATGCTTGAACTCAAAAAACTTAAAAAGAAGCATCAAACCTAGGCTTAAAAGTGTGGAAGATTGAATTTTTATGACATAAAAAGACCACACTTAAAGATCTAAAATTGTTTAATTTAGGCCCAAAATATTCAAATCGATATAAACTGTTAATTCACGATAACCGACCGATTTTTGTGGTTTCAAAAATCACCTTACTGCAAATAATCAGTCGGTTTGCGGTTCGGGAAAAAATTCGCGGTTACTAAACTGCAACCACCCCTACATTCAAATGTATCATCAAAATTCACCAAAAACAAAGACCTTAAATTCCCTTAAAATGGTTAGGACATAAAGTGAACCCCCAAGCATGGGTATCTAAGTAAACATTCATTACAGAAGCAACAGTTACTTCTTTTCAAATTGCAATTTCTTATGGACGATGAAACACCAGATGACGTCCTGCTCATTTACAGTTAGCGCAGTCCTGAATTCATACTTCCAACTATCCTTTTTCTTTTTTTGTTTTTAAGTTCAATGCCATGTTTATGACCTCACTCAACGGCTTATAAGTACATTTAACATTTCAGAACAAAGTTACATTCTCCAACTAAAAGAGAGCTTTGGCCCTTACAGCTCTTTGCCAACACATTCATCTTGTCTCGATCACTAACCCGGACATTGCCAATTGCCTGTAGGTACATAAACAAAATCCCAAATTAACACCACCTCTTAATGGAAAACTGTACTCACAAAAACAGAAATAAACGTGTACATCTAAACAAAATGATTGCCACATAGCTTGTCACCAATTACAAAAGAGCACGTCATACAATCCAGGATGCCAACATTCTGATGAACATTGTAAAGCAGCTGGCATCTTGGTTTTGTAGGTTTCGAATAGGTCCAGTTTATAATTTCCCCCCCTTTTTTTAAAAGGCATAGCTTAAACTCTTAAAGCACATAAAAATATGTAAGATTCACTTACGGGAACAGGTGAAAGCATCACTTCGGGTAGAGAATATCGTAGTGACCTGGGCGATACAGCAAGGTAATAAAGGGACTAACTTTCTCAGAGCCCCCACTAGCATTTGGAAGATCACTTCCAGCAGGGACGAAATCATGATGATTCACACTAACACCACCAGTATCACACGAACTACGGTCAAGGTACACAACACGGATTGGCACGCCCAATGCATCTGACAAGGCAGTGATGTGCACATGGTCGCTTTCTTCACCCATTGGTTCCACTGATGACTTGCAAAACTATATTAAGACAAATCAATAAGAGAGAGGCAGATCAGATATTGGCATCATTGCTCTATAATCTTAAGCTCATAACAATGGAAATCTCAAATTGCTTCTCAGAATAAAACTATTTCTGTGATATTGACTTGCAACCACACAGGACTTAGTAATTTAATGCAGGGAACAAAATTAGCAGCACGCCCCAACATGGAGAATGTAGATAAGAAGTGAAGAGACCACCATTTTCTTGACAAGGCATATTGAAAATACATCAGTAATCTTATGCTAATATGATTTAATCATCTTCCCATTTTTTCTAAAGAAGCAGTACCTTAATGGAATAATTTGGTCAACTACTGGAAAGAAGAAATAAAATCATGTGTATTGATGTATGGCTGAATAGTTTTTATTGAACAAACCTGCTCTACGGTTGCATTGGTCAATCCTAATATAAAAGGTTCAAAAAACTCTGCACGTTTCCGTATTTCACCAGAGGTAACAAATCTGAAAAACATCACAACTAACAAACCAAATGTGTCAGGTAATGGAAGGATAAAACAGCACACTAAGAACCATGTCATTTAATGTCACTCACCATAGTCGGATACTGACTGATCTCGGCTCCTAAGTATGAGCTCATCATGACTGTACAAAATAATAAATCATGTTTATTGCAGTTAAACACACAACTCAAAACTAGCATCAAACTGAACTTTGATTTTTAATTGCCAACACAAACCCAAAGTAAGGGAACTATCTGTACCTTATGGATGCTTCATTTCCATGAAGAACACTGTCCAGCTGCTCAAGGAATAACTGAAAAATTCTCCACATCAATTAGGGATTAATACTTTTTTATTGGGCAAGTGTGATCAAATTTTATGAACAGAGAAAAAGTCCAAATGGAACTAACTGGAACAATATGGTGACTGAAATACTTCTGTATGTGTCACATTGTGACAATGGCCTTATAAGAACAACTTTAAGCAAATCCTTGTGCCCTGAATTTATGTGAAAACCTCCTCATCCAACAAAAAACTATGCATTAGGAAGCACATATATCACTTCTTTCTAAAAATATGGATCATCTTTCTTCCCTGACCAATTTACACATGATAGGATGACCACCAGATTTTAGATAGGATAATCACCTCTCAATGCATGCATTCCTATGGTAGCTTTTGTAATGCAAGTAAGCATCAAATGATAAAACTGTGACCAACTTAATTATCAAATGATAAAATTGTGACCAACTTAATTATATGTTAATCAGCAATGATAGATTTACGTAATGCTGTGTCCATTGAAATCCTGTACATCAACAATATCTGAGCTGAAACTGCTCGAAAATGGGAAGAAAGAAGATGTGCATCCCTGTTCATATGCACTAAATGTATAAAACACATGGTACAGATTTATCAGCTATGACATCTAATCACCACCGAATTCCAATAGTTGATCATACATAAACCTTACTCATCTGTAAACTGTCAAGCCGTGTTCAAACAAAAAGAGGTTACGAATAAAGCCGGTGGCTCTACTCAATATCAGATATCCACTTGAAAAATTAGAAGAAGAAATGAATGAACCAATTATACAGTGTAAAAGTGCAGATAAAAAATTTACCGCAAAGAAATCCTCAAAAGTAAAGTCTGCATAACCCAAGCTTTGAAGTGTTTTTCTACACTGTTCAACATTGGCCTTGATACGGTCAACTTCACTTTGATCTTGTGATTCCAAAATATGCTCCTATTCGGACAGCCCAAGAATTTGTTAGCAGCTAAAAGACTAGAATGCATACTTGCATCCAACAAGAAGCTAACATTGCAGGTAAACACCCAATATACAAAAATCAAAGCAGTTCCAAGGAGCATATACAAGGGCATACAAGATATGAAAACATAAAACTGCGGAAGAAGCAGTTCCCATCTCCCCGTGTTCGGCGAATGGCAGCATATTGTTCACCAAGAACCTGCATAAGGGGTAGTTACAATTTGTTCCATATGAATCTAAAATTAGAAAGAATGAAAGAAAAAACAACACACAACAAATAGAGAACCTTTATTTTCTCCAACAAGATAGCGCTGCCTGATTGATATTCAGCTGCTAGGGACGAGAGTGGTTCCTGCAGATTTATCACAACAAAGGGTCAAAACCTGATAGCGTGATATTGAAAGAAACTAAAGGTTGATCTCTTGAGTTTCGAGTATTGCCTTGTCCCCCAGAAAGGGAATTTTCTCAGCCTCCTCAGCTCGAATTGCAGAGTGCTGCTGCATGATATCTTGGTCCCCAAAATTTGCCCACTCATCAAACTCAGGGGTCGGAACTGATGTTGCAGACTCCACTTCCCCATCCACTTGGACCCCATCCTGATTCTGCATTGTCTTCTATTCACACAAACAGCAACAACACGCCAATTCAAACAAGGCTGTGCCCTAATTCCTCTATCACTTTAAATATGTACATTTCAATTTATTCATAATTGAACAGCCATAAATACCCAAACAAGAATGAATCTTTCTAGCATTTTGAAAATTTTGTCAGTCTAAATCTATTGATTCACAAGAAGAAGAAGTAAAAGAAAACAGGGTGTTCATGATTTGTGGCTAAAACCCAATAATCTACTTGCAGACTTCAATTGAAACCAGCAGTAAAGAAGCAAAATTTAGCTAATATAAAGAAGATGACAACGTACATCTGTCGCACATACATACCTGAGGAAGGGAACAACGTCGTGTTGTCACTGGGTCTGGGATCGAATTGGAAGTGGAGTGGCTCACTCTCCACTGATTTTACAAAGATGAAGAACACTTGGGGGATTGATTGATTCCAAGAGGGAAAAAACGCCTCGCGGTGGAGTCCAGCGTGTGAGTGACCTTTTCTGTTTGGATGTCAGTTTTGTATTCGTTTCTGTTTTTTTTTTCTTTAATTACCTTTTTCACGCATTCACTTCATTTTCATGCCCAACTCTTCAATTCATCCGACGTGCTTAAAAATAAATTAAAGGCTTAAGTGTTATAGTACCTTGAAACATTGGTTAATTTCACCTTATTCTCTTGAAATTAAAGTGACTCATTTTGTGCTATTGACAAAGGTTTGATGTTCCACATTACCCCTTATCGTCAACTCCTTCTAAAAGTCCATTAAGTTTGATGACGTGGCGGGGTGTTTTAGTAATTTTGTGCATCTACATTATTTACTCACCAATTTGAATGAGTAATATGTCAAAGTGGAGCCTACCTCTAATAGGGATAAAAAATTAAAATACAAAATAATTTTTACAAAAAATAATTTTTTAAAAACACCTCTACATATCCCTTCTCCTCCAGTCGCACAAAATCCACCCCTTCATTGTCAAACCCCCTCTTCTCCCTCATATTGACCAAACCCCATGTTAGAGCCACTTAGGCCCAGTTTGGGATTGCTGTCATTTTTAAAAAAAGTTGCTTCTGCTGTGCTTTGAAAATAATTAGCTGTAAAGTAAAGCAGCTTGATATTTGGTAAACAATATTTTTAAAGTGATGTTAGTAAAAAAAAACAGTGTCAAAATCGTTTGGTAAATTTTAATATAAAATTGTTGTAACTATGAATAATGACTAAAATAGACATGATGTTGAAAGTGTTATGTACTAATCATGTGGTGGTAGTAGTGATGATGGAATAGAGGTGGTGGTGGTGATGAAGATGGAGTTGGTGGTTGTGGTAGTGGTGGTGGTGGGGATGACGATTGTGGAGGTGGTGGTGGTGGTGGTTGTGGAGGTTTTGGAAGAGGTGGTGATGGTGGTGGTTGTGGAGGTAGTGAATGTGGTGGTGCAAGTGGTGAAGTTGGATGTGGAAGTGGAGGTGGTGTCATTTTTTTAAAATGAATGATGGTATTTTGGGAATTAAAAAATTTATCTAAATGTTCATCTCTGCTTCTTTTGAAAGTAGCTTTGAAAAGCAACCAAGAACCTGCTTTTAAAAGATGCTGTCAAAAGGCCACTGCTTTTAAAATAATCATGATATTTTATTTTTACCAAACACTTAAAACTGCTTAACTTTAAAGTGAAGCAGGTTTTTAGCGATAAAAAGCAATCCCAAACGGAGCCTTAGTGTTGGGCCACTTCTCATTTGGCTCATAAGCTAGCTGGAGATTGTTCCTATCATTTTCAGACTGTTAGCCACAGAATAATCTTGTAATTCCCTTTCTATTATTCCTTACAGTTGTTAAGATTTCATTAGGTGTGCTCACTCCCATGAGTGACCTAATGATTAGGGCAAGGGTGCCGTTTTTCATTGTATTTAAGGATACTGACCTACCCTTTTGGAGACAGCTATGAAATGAACATTTAAATTCCTTCATCTTTTCCTCTGTTTGCTATGTTTTCTATATATCACCCAGGTTTGGTCCTGGCAATTGGTACCAGAGCCAATCCTATGGGCTCACGCAAAGTTCCTTCCTCCGAACTGTCGGCTGCCGTAATCTCTCTTGACGTCCACCATGACCAGCTCGAGACTGAAATCACAAATACCCAAGACACAGTCTCTTCCCTTTTGAGACATTAAGAAGTTACGCAGTCTTGTCTGATGACTATGTAGAAAACCATTGACTCCTTGGCTTCTTCCCAAACCTCTCTCCAAACTTCCTTCAATGCACAAATCACCCAACTACAACAGAATTTCTTGGAAGAGCTTCGTCATCTTCATCCTCTCCCACCCCACTCCACTATAACCAATTCCACCACCCAATGTAACATCCCGAACTGAAATTTAATTTAATTTTCAAAATTCTAAAGTGACAGGATGACTTTAACCTTAGGGTTCCTTGGTGGTTTAGAGTTGACTCTTTGTTCGGAGCTAGTTTCGGAAATTTTCTTGGTTCCATTGCATAGTGCTCGAACTCACAAGTTCGTAGACACGTGGTGGGCCTAAATTGGAGTTGAAACGAAGACGTTTTGGTCAATTAGAATGTAGTGGCACAACCTTAAATATTTCAAAATCGGATTTTAAGTAGGACACAAACTAGCCCATGCGGAAGGCACTTTTCTCTCTCATCTCTCTCTCTCTCTCTCTCTCTCTCTCTCTCTCTCTCTCTCTCTCTCTCTCTCTCACCCAGAATCGGCGCACATCGCGTCTTTGACTTCCCAGCGGCACAACACTGATGTCCAGCCACCTCCTCCGATGATAAATGTTGGAAAATGACTGCGACTGACCAATGACCACGTCTGGGCCAAGATCACGCCACCCTAGGCCATTATGTCGTTACTGCAAGCTAAAAAAGAACTAAAGATTTCCATGGTTTCCCTCACCATTTTTTACGGTTGTTGATGTTGATCAGGTATGGATTTCGATCCTCTCCTCGTGCTCTTGCTGATTATGTAGGTGGTTAAGGTTGATTTTGTTGTATGAGAGATCAATTTGTAACCCCAAATTTGGCTGACGGTTTTGGCCCTGATTTACCCAGTTCCTGCCACATTTTGACTAGGGTCCAAGAACAAAAAATGCTCCCCTAGTTGTGCATGATCCATTGGTATAGCTATTGGCTGATGTTTTGGGGATTTTCATCATTGAAAAATTACTCAAGACACCCACGCGCCACCGCCCATGCATGGGCCAGGTGTTAGAGGCCAAATTTGGCTCTAAAATTATCCCCACGTAGTCCCGAGCACAACGGTATGCTCAGATGTGTGAGATTTCACTGTTTGATTGGCGAATCAGAATTTCGCCTATTATGTGAATTTCGGGTTTATTGTGATCGAACTGTTAGATTGGTTCCATTTCAAGTCATGTCATTCGTCCTATCATTAGGATCATGTAGGAACTCACGGATCAAAAATCGGACATTTGGATATTCTGAATTCTCTGGTTTTAACCATTGATCATCACTCGATCATGCAGTCGTTGATGATTTTACCATCAGATCGTAACCAAACATTTAGGATGTAACTTGTGGATTGTTGTGGACCTATAGGAACTTTTAGATTGGAGATTAGAGGTCGTGGGCCCCATGGGCTTAATTGACCTAGATGGTGGGTTTTTCCAGCCTGATCGAGACCAATTGGTCAGGAGGTGTTTGTGATTTAGTGTCATGACCCGATTCGAGAATAAGGAATATTCCCGAACTAGGGTGTGAGTCATACCATAGTCATAAGAATAAAATCATACAACCATGATATGATGAGAAATAGAGCCACAAATAATACAAATTTACTTAACAACACAGAATCAGAGTCGCAGTAGCTCGTAGTTAAATACACACTAAGATCCTTATCAAACAGTTGACTACTTACAAATACTAATTATACAATTTAACAACAAAGTCCTAGTAGCTTGGTTGAAACCCGCTTCCTCAAATTTCGCCTTGAATCCTACATAATCTATTAGGATATGAGCATTCTAATGCCCAGTAGAGTACCGTTAAACTCCTCAAGGCCAGCTATCCCAGTTAATCAAAAAGTCATGCATCAAACACAAGATATATAAATTATGCAACCAGACCAGATAAATTTGTATATACTTCCTAAAATCTCACTAATTCATACCTTAGGGCAACAAGCCTACATGTCCTATACCATGTGTTTTACCATTGTGGTCTGAATACCCTTGTTTGTACCGTAGCTGACCCTACCACTCATGCCATGACACGTGCAAAGAGCACTAGTTAGGAAGCATTTTGACTCACCGACAGACCGGTCAAAGGTATGAATCGGTATATGTGGTCGATCCATCACAAGGCACTCTTGTAACCCTAAGACGTAACAATCGGCACTCCATGCCGATTGTACGAGAGGATCTCGGAAAGCCCCCACTGATATTTTGCGAACTAGTGTCGACCTCAGAGGACACTCCCATGAGTCCCACATCGAAACTAAGTACTAAGAGCACCCCAAAGGCCTTGTATAAATAGGACCCCATGCCCTAGACAAAGGGTAAGATTTCTCAGCTTGATTTATGATATAAATACTTGCTAAAAGATAGAGAATTCTCTCAAACTTACTTTGCCATCGGAGGGTCTTGGGCTGGTACCACACCGGTGCTCTCGACCTCATCCATTGTTTCTTTTCTTAGCACAGAACAAAGCATCATACCTAAAGGTACTGAATGCTTACATCAAGGGTCTACTCAGCCGAATCATCACGCCACTTGTACGTTACCTCTATTTCTATATGTTTAGTTTTAGGGCTAACAGATTGGCGCCGTCTGTGGGAAACAACTAGCAATCGACCCATATCTCCCTTTCTCGAACCTATGAATCCACCTTCATCCCTCACAACTGATGGTCATATCCTCGGCCTCACTAGCGGAGCAAGCCATGCTCCCCCACCCAGCACGCCCAGAACGAAAACGCCCGTTCGATAGAACACCCTGGTGGTGAGGATGAAGGCCCTACAACAGGAAATGGCGAGAATGCAGGAACACAACAATATCCTTTCCTCCAAGCTTGACGAGACTCAGAGATAGCTGTTCGAATAGCAATCACACTCGGCCTAATTACAGGATGGTTTGGAACAGACCATGCAGCTTTGGCTGGAGCAGTCTATTAGAAGCGTACCAAAAGTACGGCAGGAGCAGTCTATTAGTACGACAGGAGCAGTCGTGAGAAAGGAAGGAGACCCACAACAGGTAGGCCATCCACTTCCCGAAGGCTGTTCGTACCCTATTCGGAGGAACGCCACCAAGAATACGAAGTTTACTCCGACTGTCGAGATAGACTTAATGATCGTCGCAAGGAGTGTCAGACATTCCCAATCCCGGCGCCTGGATGCACTCATGCCGAAATCTCCCCTACGCCGAAGGTAAGATGCTATCGGCCTAGAAGAAACAGACGAGTCAGACTATGTTCTGACTTCACCCGGAACTACCATCTCCTACCATTTGGTAGGACTGGGACCCTCCAGACAAGAACATCCTAGCTACCGATCAGGAGGAGAGGACGATCGGT